CGCGGGGGTGGGGTTTCCCCCGGGGCCCGATTCCGCAGGGGCGGAAATCGGGCCTCCAAAGCGGGGGGAAATCCGCCCCCCGGGGGGACTTGGCAACCCTAGTGGAGGGACTTCAGTGGGATGCATTGCCACATAAGAACCTTCCAAAGTGGATGTTTTCTCCAGGTGAACTGATCTCGGTCATGTGGAGCTCCGTTGTCTTAGTGGGAGATCTACAGCCACCACCTGGAGGGTGGCAAGTGGTGACCCTTGGGGTGAAGCTGGTTACCACAAAGGGTATAGGGCCTTTGGGTGGCTGGACCCTGTCTTCAGGATGTTGTTATCCTTTCCCTGCATCAGGCACCAATTTCAGTTATTAAGAGCTTTAGTTTTCCCTCTGTTGCTGGTGCAGGCTTTATGCCAGGCTTTCTGTGTGGCTGTCTGTACTTCAGCGGCTTTAAATGTTTTTATAGTACTGCTGCTATCTGGGAATTGGCTGGGGGTTAGTCATTTTGATGGCTTTAATATTTTTATGAAGTATCACATTTGTATTTGTGACAGATTTTTACTGCTCTTGAAGAGTGTCATCAAGCACTACAGTAGAGAGGCAGTTTATACATCTCTTAAATAAATAACGTATGGTCTGTGAGCATAAAAAAGCACTTTATAAATGCTAAGTAATAATTCCACAAGCCTACCTTGGTCAAGTGGATAAAGGAGGTCAATTTTCTGGTGGGCTTACCTTGAACAATTTATTCAAAGCTCCATATGTAATGTAAATGAACAGTATTCCTAAATGTCTTGTGTTGCTGTAGTGATGCTGTTTAGTCGCAAAGAGTCGGACTCGACTGTGCGACTGAACAACAACAACAACAAAAAATATCACCAATTCCAAACATTCATTGCCCAGGAATTTGTCCAGACTCACTGGTAGCTAGATCTTTCCTTTATCTGCCTTCCCTGCCAGCATACATATGAAAAACGGGAGTGACATAATAGTCTATACGGCACGATTCACACACTACAAAGTCCTTGTGTTTGTTGGTAGACTACATGAGGACTTTGCATCTAATGTTTAACAGTTGTTTTATAACTCCCAGATTCACCCCTGCCTTTTGTTCCTCATTACGGGTAGAGAGGCTTCATTCCCCCCTGCTATTTTCACTTAGTCAGACGGCCCCATGGAGCTGCTATTGGCTCCACTGCAAAGCTTGCATGCAGCTATGTGACATTATTCTCACAATGGATCCAGTAACAGGTCCATGAGTTGTTATTAGGAGGGGTGAGGGAAGGTTGAAGCTGCTTCTACCTGCATGATGTAGTCGCAAGGAGAAAATGGCATCCAAATCTGGAAAGCTGAAAATCCTCATTGAACACTGCATGTAAAATCCTCACGCCATCCATCAATAAATACCAACTTCGTAATGTGACCTGCACAGGCCAAGCTAGCCCAATCTCATCAGATGTCAGCAGTAAAAGAGGGTCGATCCTGGCTAGCATATCACTCTTCATTCAATGGGTAGAATTGCCATGTATGACCCATTTTTCAATTAAGATTAACCATTTTTTGTGAGATATGGATAACATACCCAATGACTGGAATGGCTTTTGGTCTCTGACATGATTGAACTGCTGGAATCACAGCCATAGACACGGTAAGAACGAGGAGAGTCTTAGAGCATGTGTACCATGTGTGCAGAAAACATATGCCCCAGGGTCTTTCTGTGAGTCTTATCCTCAGGAATGATTTGAAACCCACAGTCCAAGCTGGGTGAGGATGATGGCAGAGAAGCTCCAGCGTGACCTGCAGTGACCCCTCTAGTAACGCCTGGGGCAGCAAGGCCCAGAGGAACCCCTGCTGCTGCTCCCACCATGCTGGGAGAAACCTCTCATTATCTGTCTCTGTTGTGGTGAAGCCGACACATGGCTCCACTTTGAGAGAATCAGATGTTCCCGTCCACATCGTGCTACCCTGGGCAATTCCCTACAAGTGGCACAGGGTAAGGAAAGAACTGAGGACAGACAGACTTCTGCGTGTACACATACACTCATATTCATGTGCAAACAAGCAAGCAAATACTCATGTGAGATTGTGTCTCACAGAAACACATCCTCCCAGTCAAATGGGTCGGGTCCACAAGAACAAGGATCTCCAACCATGCAGTGTGGCTTTCCTGGTTTTTCCCTTCAAAATGCACCCAAAATCCTGTTCCAGGGGTCCTCTCTTCCCCAAGAGCAGGGGTCTGGGGACCTATGAGACTGCAGTGGGAAGGTGGAGCTGCATGGGCAGAAATCCCTCCGTGCCCACAGGGACACCAGCTCGGTCCACTTGGGGATATCTTTTTTTAAAAAAAAAATTGAAAAATGGTATACATAAGTGAAGTGCCTTCTCTATTTTCATTAAGACTTAAAACTCATGTGGTGTTGAGAAACATGGTATAGGTTACTTAAAGGACTAAGGCCCCCGGTCACCGGGGCCAGATAACGCGGGGGGGGGGAGGTGTGGCTCTTTGAGCCAGCGCAATTAGACTCGCCAGAATACAATCAGACGCGACGGTGGCACACCACGGTTTCGTCCGCCAGCACGTGAGCGTCAAGGAGTACAGCCAGGGGAAAGTTGTGCACAGCGTGATCACACAGAACGATTCTGTCAGCAGCCCATGGCAAACCATTTGCTAGTACATTTGTTGAGATACTTTTTAACCGTGCTGCTTTGGCGGCACTCCATGGGTTGGCCACGGGTGCACTACACTTGCCAGATGTTGCGGTGTGATCGCGCCCTGAAAATCCACCCAGCATTCGTGGCTCTCCCGTGGCAAATTCAGCGTGTGAACGGGGCCTAAGGCATTCAGAATCAAAGGTCTTCAAAGCCTTTCTTTAAGCACACAGCTCTCTCAGGCCACAGTTTCCACACCTCTGATCTCTTCACGGCAAGTAAGCCAATTACAACTAAACAGTTTGCTTGAGTGGAGACAATGTTAGAAATGAGTGGTAGTAGAGAAGCAGCTGTGACTCCACGGTAGAGTACGCAGAAGGTCCCAAGCACAATCCCCGGCATCTCCAGTTGAAAGGATCAGGTAGCAGGGGATGTCAAAGACCTCTAGCTAAGACCATGGCAACTGCGGTTTGAGTCCGGTGGCACCTTTAAGACCAACAAAGTTTGTTCAAGGTATGAGCTTTCCTGTGCACACACACTTAATCAGATACACTGAAATGGAAGATAACAGTTCATATATAAGTAGAGGGTGAATTAAAGGCGCCACTGAACTCAAACTTTGTTCTACGGACCAGCATGGCTGCCCACCAGTGTTCCCTCTAAGCTGAGTTGGTGTGAGCTAGCTCACAGTTTTTTAGCCTCTGGCTCACATGTTTTTGTCTCAGCTCAGCAAGGACGGCTCCAGAGCAAACTGATTTATGCAGCAGGCAAATCGCTCGCTCACAACTTTGATGCCCGTGGCTCACAAGGTAGAATTTTTGCTCACAAGACTCCACATCTTAGAGGGAACATGGCTGCCCACCTGAATCAATCTTCATGAAGACTGCTGTTAGTCACAGAAGACACTACAGGCCTAGGTAGGCCAGTGGTCTGACTCAGTACTAGAGAGCATCATTTGTTCATGAGAGGACAGCAGCAGGTGTTTAGCATTGTACATTTCCCTCCTGCCGGCAAGTGATTGACTAATTCATCATAAACTTAGCATGTAACATCCAAACTCCTGCATCACATCAAAAACAGCACAAGGTCTTACCATCTTTACTAGATTCTAGTAATGAGAAAGGGGACTGAATCTTGGACTTCCTGTCAGATTTTCTGATTCAGAAAGCTATTGCTCAGCCTAGATCCCTTAATCTGTGTAGCAAATCAGACCAGAGCAAACCGTATCCTTAAGATGGAAGCACAGGGCTATAAAAACCAGCTACCAGATTATGCATTGCCTTAGTCTGTACTGGAAGGTAAGCGTCAGTCTGCCTTTCCCTGCTACATTAGGAAGGATCCCGGGACGCACACCTGGACAATGCAGTGATGCAGCTCCCTCATTGTTCCTCTCTCACCCACATCCTGTAATCGGGTTCCTGGCGCCCTCTTGTGGGGAAAAGTTTCTTCAAATCTCCCTTGAAAATAAGATCCGCACAAGCTGATTTTTAATCCAAATGAAAGAAGCTGGCGGGGGCGGGGGGGGCGGGGGGGAAGCAACCTCCAAGGCTCTGATTTGGGAGAAGTGATTAGTGAAAGAGAAATGGGGGGGGGGGAATCAAGGATAACCCACTGCTAATTGTAGCCCTAGGAAAAGGCAATTGCCTAATTTGTCTGTAGCAAAAGGTGGGACAGGACTGCTTGGTCACATCATCTACTTCTGGGTGCTTTCCTTGTCCACCTGTATCTTCACAGTCAGTGGGGATACATTATCCACCTTGTACATTAGCTCTGAAGTGACCTGCCCCAAGTGAGTGGCCTGGTCAACCAGCACACAGTCCTGACAGGATGTATAGACTTGGATTTCCACCCCAACCAGCTGTTGCCAGTTATGCCCCTTAACACACACACACCCGTAGTGTTCCTGCAGCCAGCCTTATTTAGAACTACAAGCTGTCCTGTGTTCATTCCTGACACCCATTCATTCTATGTGAAGGGAAATCCTCTGCAAAATCCTAGCAGGCAGCACGATTCGACGAAGAGAGTGTCATCACTAAGTCCTCCACCCTATCTTTTAGATTCCCGTACTCCCTTGTACACAGGCATCATAGTGATCTTCGTCTGAGAAGGGAAAGTGTCCCCTAGCAAATACGCACTCAGGCATGTGCTGCCTTTCCTCTGTGCTAGACCAAAGAAGAACTCCAAGTAAACCTCAAACACAAACACAGTGTTGCAGGTGTAAGAAAAAGGGAAGTTGTAAAGCTAGAATATGAGCATATTGAGTATGCATGCATGCCACACAGATCCAAACCCTGCCCTGCCCAGGAATTCCTGACACTAATCACATCACCATTCATCATTCAGCCCTGACATGTCTACCTCCACAAAACCTTTCTTTTATTCCCATTCTCCCAATCATTAACACAGGTTACAATCACCTTTCAATATTTTAGAATCATTTAGTGGGACAAATTAATGCTAAGGAAAATCTATCTTTGTACCATCCATTAAGCATCTTGGTTATTTAAACAACAGAATGGTTGAACTGAGCAATCAAGTTATTAGACTATATGAAGTGCACTTGTGAAGCACTCCCTTTTACGTATTACTGGATAAAGAGGGACACGTGTTTAAATAGCTTTATTAAGGTAGAAAGAAACTGCAACCCCAGCCCTAGCTGATGGGAAGCAACGAAGCCAAGGGAGTGAGCAGTCAAGGAACCTCTGCTGTTCTCTCAGACACAGGAAAGATCCACTAATAAGTGAGGCATAACACATCCCTCCAGGGAATCTGTGCATGACTCATGGTCACAAAGGCACATGGGACCAAGCAGTTGGAGCCAATAATGGGAGAAAGGTGATACCGGAGATCTTTGCCTCCAACAGCATGTGTCCACACAGGAATGTGTCCACACCCATCTGGAGCCACCGCTTGGCATGGAATATGAAGGACCTGCCACAGAGGTGGTCTGTAATCAAGTGCTGTATGCAGCGGACTCTGCTTGGACCCCGAGGACTTCTTCGTACGTTCTGAGGAGCCACGATAGACCTGAACTGTCCCTGGGTTTTCCAGCAGGCTGTTCTGTAACCCCGGGCCAGGACAACATCATGTCCTTGGAACCAGGACAGCTTGGTTATGCTCCCAGTCTCAGGATTCTGCGGGTCCATTCCGCATCACCCCACTCCGTGACATTCCTGTCCGATGTCCTTTTTGAACCCATTCAAATGCACAAACTGAGTTCTTTGCGGACTGTGCATTTTCGGCACTGCACCACACAGCACCAATGAAAACGGCAAAGGCAATTCTCCTCCAGGAGTAGTGTTTCATCGCGGTGACCACGCCCACAGCACAGCAAGTCACAGCCGCTCACGTCCATGGCAGTGCTGTTGCACACTCGCCCACGTGTGCCCAGTGAGCCTGTCTTGCGATTGGCAATGCAGAAGTCAGGTGAGTCAGCAGAGTAGATGAGGTCCTGCCTATCTGGGGGCTTGATGTTCCGGCCCACGGGAATGAGTGTTTTGCCATCGTTGCCTCCCATCACTTTGAAAGCCCCGTTGAAACGTTCAAGTAGGCGTTCGCCCACCTCCCGGAAAGGGGGCATCTTCTTCCAACAGGTGCGTAGGGCACAGGAACCTGAGAGCCCATGGCACTTGCACTCTGTCCGCATGTGATTCCTCACGGCCTGGAAAGGGAAAAAAGGAACCACCACTGGAGAAAGCAATTCATAATGCCAACAATACTGCATAATAGTGAAATTAGCCAAAGCAAAACTAGCTCTCACTACAACTCATTACTCTGAACTACAGCTGAGAGTAGGTGATAGAATGCTTATTCTGGGCCTCAAATGGAGAAGGCCAACAGAATTCTGATCCAAAATGTGACGTGATTCCCTTTCTCCATCTATTACTACAACTCATAAATGAGGCATCGTTTCGAAGCCTTGGGATTTGGTGACATGTTGTTGAGGAAATATGACTAGACAAGGACCAAGAGAATATGTCCACCACCACCCAAGAATACAAAAATGGAAGGGCTCTGATTAGCCTGCTCTCTCCTGAACTGAACCTGCCACTGATGTGTTGCCAAAAATCCTTCTGAGTATATTGTTTGAAGTCCTTCATATCAATGGTATCAGAAATGCTTAAAACAGAACTATTTCACCCAGACTGCAAATAGCAGGCTGAGATAGTCATTTGCCTCATAGTCTACTAGGTATGCTTGCACTAGGGCAAATTTGAAACCCTTCCTGACTCTTTGCTGACACTTTAGCTATTATACCACATGAATTAAACAATGCATAAAAGTGCATAGATTTGTCTGTTGTGTCTATCTGTTCATTCACTGTCTGACCATCCCCTCTGGTCGTGTTTACTTATCCGCACTATTGTCAGTTTATTAAATAGAAGTGATGGCTGTGGTGGGGATCATGCAATCTCCTTCTGCCAGCCAGTAAAGCTCTGGTGGTAATCCAGGATGAGCCCCAGGAGTGACTGTGGGGGTGGGAAAGACAGGCAGAGGTAGGCGGTACACGATCCAGATGGCAAGCAACACAGGCAGGTGGAAAGAGAAACCAGGCCTTCCAAAGAAACTGGTTATGGGACATCCAGGGGAAAAGAGAGGTGAGCTAGCCGGAGGGAAGGAAAAATAAGGGAGCTGATACATAAAATCCCACATTGATCTCCAGTACTTTCGAGCCCTTGAGAATTACAGCCAAACAGAAATGAGAAGCCACATAACTAAGCAAGGATGAGAAATCGGGAGGGAGGCTCTTGGAAATCAGTTGGCAAGTGGATATGTAGAATTTCATAGTGAATCTGGGTTTGGATGTTCTGGCCTAAAATGTATCCTTTCATTTCCCTATATATCTGCCCAAATTATTCCACTACGCACCAATATATATATATGCTAGCCATAACATGGAGGCCAGGCCCAGCAAAGCAGGGATACTTGGCAGTGACCCCTTGCTCTTGCTTGACCACCACCACCCGACAGGGTTGTCCTGTATGGGAGCTTTGGTTCAGGGGAATGGCATTCACTTTGCATGCAGAAAGTCCCAGGCTCCATCCCTTCCCTGGCCTCTTCTCTTCAAAGGTTCCAGATGTGAGAGACTTCTGCCGAAGACCCTGAAGAGCGGCTGCCTGTCAGAGTAGAAATACTGACTTTGATAGACCTTGATGGGTTTCTACATACACCGGGATGGCTGTGAAGCCCTTGATTCAGCCTCTGCCCATTCCGCACGCACTTGCCCAGCATCAGCACATAAGAGGGCAGGAAGAGCAACAAGGGTCATGAGCAGTGTTCCCTCTAAGCTGAGTGAGTGTGAGCTAGCTCACCGTTTTTTAGCCTCTGGCTCACACATTTTTGTCTTAGCTCAGGCAGGGACAGCTCCAGAGCCAACTAATTGATGCAGCAGCCAAATTGCTCGCTCACACCTTTAAAGCTAGTAGCTCGCAAAGTAGAATTTTTGCTCACAAGACTCCATACCTTAGAGGGAACATTGGTCATGAGCTCCAGAAGCTCCCTACATTGCGGTTTTGTTTGATGCAGGTTGTGGCCTGCACGCACAAGACAGCAATATCGGGTTGTGAGGAGAACAGCAAGGGACAGGATTGTCTGTTTTGTGAACGTGATGCACCTCTAAGTCGGCCATGCACATGTGAGCTATGGGAGGAGGTCACATGGCTTCATGCATAAGGAAGGAGGCCTGGTGTGCCCAGGCGGGAGACCTGGTGGTAGACCTCTGGCAAAATGCAAGTGGGGGAAATGTGCTGGGGGGGGGGGGTAGGTATGGGATTTACATTGTGAACATGCCTCCATATAGAAACTTTCTGCAGAGAAAATATTAGCGCAGCAGCAGGCAGGGAAACGTGCCCTCTCCCCACGTGTAAGGAAGGCGAGGGGGTTCTGCGAGGCGTAACCCATCCCCAGCAGGCTGCAGGGGCCGCTCTCCGCTATGCCGACCACGCGGGCCGAGGCCAGCGGCCAGTTGGGGAGGCGGCCCTTACCAGGCGTCCGGCCTCGTTGTTGTGCAGGTCGACGAGCGTGCGGATGTCGCTCTTGCCCCGCTTGCGCCTGGCGTCCATGAACTGGCGGGACTTCTCGTCGCCGAAGTCGACGTCGTCCCCGCAGCCGCCCCCCTCCCAGGCGGCGGAGGCGGCCTCGGACCCGGCGGGGGCGGCGGGGGGCAGGGGCGGGGCCCGTCTCCGCGTCGCCTCGCAGCCGCACTGCAGCA